AATTATATGGATTTTTAAGGACATTTATTAGTACTTGTATCGGTACTTGGTATCGGCAAGTACTTTAATGTAAGTACTTGTACTCGTACTCGGTTTTCAAAAATCTGGTATCGGTGCATCCCTAATAAGAAGTGATAAGAAGTGATTATGTGAGGTACTGTTGTCTTTGTCATGTTGAACCAGTCTGCCCTCTGTCATCTACCATCACCTCTGATATAAAAACCTTTGTTGTCCACTCTCCACTCACTATGTGTCTTCTGTTGTTCAGCACTCTTTATCCATAGAAATGGTTGTGAAAGATTTAGATAATTATGTTGTGTTCATTTACCTTCATACATGTTAATAACCAGATGCACCAATAGTTGAATGTTTTAATGTGAAAAGAGTTGTACAGTGCTGGGCTGGACTCTGCTCTCTCCATGCATCAGCTCCAAAACCAGGAAGTTGTGTTACCTACACCATTCTTCAGAGTGTGGAGGTGTTACCTTTTATATCATGTGTACAACGTCACTCATTTTTGTTTAGGCTAAAGGACAGAACACATGATACGACACAACAACTGTCAGCTTTAACCTCAAAGGCTGAAATGATCAGAAAGTATAAAATACTACACTGCATCTAATATTGAATTAATCATTTATAAAAGTTTCTTCAGTTGTGTGTAAAAATGCTAGTAGACCAGCAGTTTGTMAAATAATCAAACCAGCCTGGTCAGAACCAACAACCATATATCATGTTCAAAGTTAATTCAATTCTTTCCTCTCCGTTCTGATGGACAGTATGACATTCATCAAGTCATCTTCACCACGTCTACACGCCTACAAGCATCAGTTCCTGCCCTGTGATTGGCTGATTAGTATTTGAATTTACAAGTAACTGAACAGCAGTAGCGGGTGGTAAGTGTAAAACATTTTGTTATGGAAATCTTTAAACCTTTTTGTTACATTAAAGTGTTAAAAAAGAGAGAATTAAGTAACTTCTGGAGAGTGAGCTGCTGACTTACGCTCGAACTTCATCCTCCTTGTAGAAGATGTCAGGTACCCTGTCCGGCTTCTTGTAACGACGTAGGTTATGAGGTGTCACGTAAACAGGGTCCCTTATCGGGGGGAAAGCCTCATACACATCGTACCATATGGGTTTGTTTGATGGTTTTATCACTCCTGACAACATCAGATCTCGAACCCTGAAGACCACAGAAAACAGACGTTAAGTTTGACTCTAGACCTGGTTTTTACATCGTAGTCAATATAAGACAGACTGAAACAATCATTTTACTCTCCAGAAAGACAACATAGTCTATTCAAAGGGTTTTTAAACTGTGGAGGGTGCTTCCTCTAGGGGGCGCCAGTGTCTTGAGGGTGGTTGTGAACTGAACCAAGAAGTAAGGTTTATGGTTAGACTGCAGACCTTAGATCAGATGTTTTTACTCAGATATTTTAGTGTGTATCTCATTATCATTAAAAAGTGACCTTCATGTTCAGTGTGCAGACACTCTCCACATTGTATCATATAACAGGGTGGTAATCCAGTGTGTAAAAATAACAACGGGACTTTTTTAAAGGTGCTTTCTGACAAAATTGTTAACATTGCAAAAAAAAAAAAGCTTTCGTACCAAATATTATTTCAGTACAAATTTTTCAACACTGGGTTGAAGATGTCACTTTAGGGTAAATTTGTTAATTTAATTTTTTCTTTTTAAAAAAGGAGCAGATATTGTAGGATTTGTTCTTCTTTCTGCTGTCTTGCATTTTATTTTGATACTGTATTTACTG